GAAGATATAGCTTTTGCGTTAATTGGATTTGTATTACTGAATGTAGAAAATAATGTGCATCCGAATGAACTGGCTTTAAAAAAACATTTCGTTTTTTTATTTGACCAGCATCTGGCATATTTGCAGAATTGCATGCAATAATGTTGGTTGTTTGTTCTGAATGCACATTTCTTTCTGTTTGTTGAAATGTAGTTAAGTAGTTTGATCTTTGTCAGCGTTCCCGATTAGCATATGCAATCGACATTTACCGCCCGCTCGTATACGAGATGTCATGAAATACCTCCCCTCCCCCCCCGCCCAACTTCATTCAATTAATTGTTTTCAACTACCAAGCAGCATTGCCACTGCTATTTTGGCTGCTCATGGAGCTCACGTCTTGGCAGCAGTTACTCGGTTGTAGAGGGAAGGCAGTAGGCCTGTAACTCGCAAGCAGTGGCTTTTTCTCTCCCTTTATGCGTGCTTCTTTGATGTAATGATGAACTCCCTGGTTAGGTAGAAGTGACGATCGTTCATTCCTAGGCTCCAAGAACTGAGAACAGTCCTCGAGAAACGAATATGATTGCGCTTACTCTGGACATCAAACAAATTGTGTATTTATCTCTATTGTGAAGCGCTGTTGTTCTGCTAAGTTAGGGTAAACAGACCAACTATCCATCGCTGTACAAGATATAAGGATATCGTACTTGTGTGCGTGTGTGTTTGTGCTGTATTTACGAGTTTCGCTTTTGATGTCATGTGCTCTTCATTAATCATTCATTCGCTTACTGCTAAGCAGTCCACTCCTTGAATCATTTCTATCTTCAATTCTGAGCATAAATTCTTTACCCACTTAATGTTAAGCTTCGTTGCGGTCATTAATTCTCTAATGTTTTCCCATTAAGTCTTAAGAAGAAAATCTGGATTTTTTTCTTTAGACATGCACATTTGAGGCAATTGAGACTGTGTTAGGCTAGCTTAGTGTTGAAAGTTGGCAGTTGCACATTTGACAAATTAATTGTGATTGTAATTGTCGAATGAAGTAAACTTGCTTCTTAAAAGCCTTATAACACGGAAAGATTCTCAAGGAAAAAAAGATTGTGACCGATTTTAATCTAATTCGTTTCGGTAAAACGATGTCATGCTTACGTTTACTACCAGAACTCTGCAATTACGCGAGGCTAAGCAAACTTTTATATTTTGCTCAAAATTATGCGAAGCACATTTTGACATTAAAAGCAACTTGCAATAAAACGGACATTTTTTGTTGATTGGATAAAAGAATTTCCCCCTTTACTTGAAGGTAATATTTTTTTTCTATTCATTTGCCTTCAAGATTAATTTTACATTGACTATTCTTGCCTGCCGCAACTGTTTAATCAATAACAAATTCACCAAGAGGAAAGGTAATTATTAGCAGTGCTTGCATCCCCCCAACCTCACTGTTTTTTTCTCAATTTCCTCATTTTTTAAACACCATATTCGTCCTCCACTGCCGTAAGTGACTCTTGTTTTCTTATTGGCTGTTGATCATGTCTGACCGTTTGTTCTGACTGGATTTTTCCCTCACTAAGTCGTTGGTTAGATTGCTATGATCAAAGTTATTGGAGAATTTTTCTACCTGTTTTTTTGCTTCTATATATTTGAGCCATCGAAATTGCCTTATTGGCATTAACCGGGAAAAGCGTATTTCTATTAAGAATAACTTAATCACGCTCTCAATGAATTGTGCCCTGTAGTTCCACTTCAACGCAACTATTTTGGATTAAATGCAGTCAAGAAATGGTAGGTTGTTATGGGAATTTCTTAGTCCTCTTCTCTTACGTCGGTACAGATTGAGCCTTCGAGTGTGGTAATCCTCCAGATCACCGCAGCTAAATCGATTTTATCGATGTATCAGGTACCTTATTCTCATGCTGTCAATTAACCAGATCGAATATTTGACCTTATTTATTTATTTATATCAAATAGCAGGCGTTTTGATAGTTATAATTAGCAATTTAGTTGACTGCAGGCTTCACAGAGGGGAAGAGGAACACCAAAGTAACAAAAAGTCGAGAGGGTGGAGGAACAGAAGAGCTTTTCAAAGATGCAAAAGAGACAGAGAGAAAGGTAGAAAAAAGGTGAGGAGAGTATTGTGGAAGTAGTCGAATATGACATACATTGAGGTGATGGTATTTTGAAGTCAGAAGTCAACTGCCAGTTAATAGACTTTTTTGCCGTATGAGTATACGTTGCCCAGGGTGCACCACGTGGAGGTAAGTCTATCGCACATCCCGTATTTGACCTCAGAAACTGCAATTTGTGTATCTTTTCATGATTAAGTCCGCTCATACTAACAGACTTTGACTCTGCAGTGTATATGTTGTGGCGACCTGAACAACTTTGCATTCAGTTAATTTGTGAATAATTATCGTTTTACTTCCTTCAATTTCAGGTGAAAATAAGGGCACTGGGCAAGACGAGGAGGATCCAATGACGGGCACCACTGCTAATAGGGAAGATAGTCAGTTAATGATCGCTCGGCCCACTCAATCCACTTACAGTTCTGTCACTTACCAGCCTGATAATGTTAATGGTAAAACATTGACCTCTCATAAACGTCATAGAAAGAAGGGAAAACATATCGCCTCTTCAGGGCACCGACCAACACAAAAGGAGCAAGAAATAACGGGTTCTGATGACCAAGCTGTAGTTCCACCATTACCTGCGTTTGTTCAACAGGCTTCGGCTGCAAAGTGCATCGCGTTAGTTAATTGTTTTCCACTCAATCTGGATGTTTGCTTTCACGTTCAACGTAAGCAGCAGAGTTGTTTACTGATGAGAAATTAGATCAGAAGTGATGTTGAGAGATTCAGATGGGCTCGCCTGCATTTCGCTTCTTAGTTACGAAAGTTCTATTTCAAAAGTAACTCAGAGGTTGGTGCCGTTTTGCACTATTTTTTTTAATTTTTTTCTTTTCTTTTAATGAAAGGCCGTCCCTTATTGTTATGGAATGCAATTAAGCCAATCAATAAACTTAGGTCCATTTTTTTCTTGATTCACATCGCGCCTTGTTTTAATTATCACGCGTCTTTAATTTTTCCTGTGGTGCTTGGCATTCCTCGCTTTCGATGCACCATATGGGTTTTTCTACCCATCGCTCTATTTGGCTTTAATATCACTTGGTTACCTTAAGTGGATGAAATACGTGGTTCTTGGGCCAGAGTTTACCATGACACCTAGTCTCTTAGTAAGTTGTCATTCAGCTGTCACTTTCCACACCCTGAATATATCTCCCTTCAGTTCATGACCTCCTAAGTTCACGTTCTAATTTAGTCTGCTTTGCATACCAATTATATAGTGTCCATTTAATTGATCTATTTTTTTCGTTTTAGTGCCCTCATCGAGGATAGTATGGAAGTGGCAAAAAAATTGCTCAAAGTACGTGGCCATTTCCCATTTTCCTTATTTTTCATTACTTTCCTCACTTAGCTATCAATTTAATGAATCTAATTAGGAGTCTTTTTGTTACTAGAATCTAGGGGTTCATTAGTACGTGTGATCTCTCCGATAACAGTCAAGGAGTACTATTCTGTTTAGTGTTATGCGTTTCCATTAATCTAATCGGAAGGCAAAATAAAATGCTTCTTCAATAAATCGTTACTTATCTATGAAGCGTGTCTGGTTTGGGGGTACGTTAATGCGCTCTGGAAACGAAATAATCGTTATCGTGTATGGGAGTAACATGTTGACACTTGAACACGACAATTTCGAAATACAAAGTCTAAGGAATATAGTTTGTGTATTCAATCATCTGCCTTATCGCACTTTTAATCGGCCCCCTGTTTGATGCTTTTCTGTGAAGCTTTATACGTGATCTTTCGTAATGGTCAGCCAACTGCGATTTGCCGATTTTTTGTCTTGGATTGATGGCTCCTGTTTTTGGCTTCCTTATAGCCCTTACGCTTATTCGCCAATTGTGCTTGTTCACTTCCTATCTTTTATCCTCCCTTAAACCAGTCAAAATTCAATCACTTCGGTGGAATAAGTGAAATGCTAGCTTCTTTTTTCAAAAATCTACTTCAGTGTCGTATTTAGCGATTGTTTTTTGTATCTCTCGCTATTCTACATCCTGGACCCCAGTTTTTGTAGCTACCCTGGAATTTTAATCCAATACTCTAATCTCTCGTCTTCTGGTGTTTTGAATTTCAACAATAAGTCCCTATGCAGGCAGGTAGTAATACGCTTTGATCCAACGCTGGCTTGAGCAAAGCGCCAATTTCCTCATGCCTTAGTTAGAGGAATTCAGATGGGATATTATCAAAAATATTGTTTAGGAAATGTTTATCTAACGCTGTAGCAGAGATAGCCAAAGACAGACGGAGAAAAAAGGTGGGGCGTGGGGGGGGGGGGGGGGGGGGGGGAGGAGGGTAGAGAGAGAGGGGGAGGGAGCGCACGCTAGAGGGATTCTATCTTTGCCTGAATCTTCGTTCCGACTGTTGGCAGGCACTCCCTATATTCGGTTTAATTAAAATGCCACTCTTAATTAAAACTGTTGCTGAAGTAGAAGAGATTACTATGTAATATGCGTTATGTGGGAATGGAGAGAGTACATCGAAGCGCGATGCTGCTGCAAGCAAACGGAATTAAGGTGACGAGTTATCATGGAATAGTTATGAAAGTGTATTTGCGTGAGTCCTTCGGAAAAACCTGTAGGACTGTGACAATTCCTGCAATTAACTAAGCAAATGCAAGACTAATACATAACTGCTGTAATGGATTGCGTTTTTGTTTGTTACATGGGATATTGATCCTATTTGACTTGGGTAGATGGGAAGATGGATCTACTTGCAAGAGCTCCTATAATTTAATCGTATTCCGTTATTCCGATTTTTAAGCACAAATAACTTTCTTAATTTGGTTTCCTCTTATCAGCAGTTGCTTTAAGAGGGGTAAACGTTTGCACTGTTTTGTAAATGCTCAACTTGTATCATTTTAATTCTTGTTTTTAGTTCGGAGCTCTTTCGGGATTGCTCTACGCAATGGGGAATCTGGAATATTCCGACAGTCAGCGACAAGCCAGTCGTTGTTTAAAGGTACCGTCTTTAAACTTTTTCTTCCCAATTCGATGTCATTTTTTTTTCAAAATTCCTTTTTCTTGATATCTGTATTGCTTCAGATACTCTCCGTTAAATATCCTCAAGTTAGTTCAATAGTTGAAGAAGTTATGGGTCGAGCGCTCTTCGATGAGTTCTATGTAAGCCTTCTTGCATTGGTGGTGAAAAGAAATATCATCCTTTCATTTATCTCTCGCTTTTTTTCTTGTAGAGTAAAACTGATCAATTCTATTTGTATATGACACCACTTCAAGCGGATTTATTGGTCTCTACCAAAACAAAATTTCCCGGTAATTTTCTGAAAAAACAATACTCAATTTCACAAAAGAGATCTTGCGATAGGATTGTCATTTTGACAGTATTTTTTCCTATAAATTTGACATTTGTGTGATCTTTTAGGTTGGAAATGTGAAGTTTTTTCCTTTAGATGATAAAATCGATTTAAATTATTTCGCTAATTTTTAATTAAAAGTATTGATTTAATAGATCATCTGCTCGCAATTAGCGATCAGCTGAGTGAATATTGCCGAATTGGTTAACTTTGTACTTTTTCATTTTCCTGCAGGTATTGATGAAATTAATTTGGAGTTTTAAATGGCACCTTCGAAACCACGAAAGAAAAAGCATTTTATTTTGCGGTGGAATACGTAAATAAAACGAATTCTTCAAGAATTTTCGTCTTTTCTCTTTTGACTGTACAAATGGGATTGAATGCTGCTTGTTTCCTTACCTTTTATGCATAATATTAGGCATATCATTTCTTGTTCTGATCTTATTTTAGATAAGTCGCTGCTCAGTCCTCCTGCCGTTCGCACCTTTTAATCGGTTTGTGCATAGGAAAAATTAACGAGAGAATTGATTGAATCGCTAGACAAACATATCTAACTCCTCTGTGCACATTTTATTTCAACTTATTTGCGCCTCAAATCATCTGTCTACCTGACAGTCATGGATCATCCAGAACCAATATCAAAACGAGTTCCTGAAATTCCACAATGCCGAAAGGGCTTTACTCTTGAAGAGGCCCGCTCATTTGTTGACGCAGTGATGCAGGTCTTCCACAGTCTAGAAGATATGACAGATCTGCGCTCTATGTATGAGACAGGGAAACAGTTGAGCCGTCTCTACTTTGATTGCCATCAGTATCGTGTCGAATTAGCAGAGTACTTGACGAATCATGAGTACCCCGCTTTTGCTTCAAAGATGATGAAAAAGCTGAATAATATGGGTGTTTTCAAAAATGACAATATCTGGTTTTCCTCATTCTACTTCTACAACACCACATGGAACTTCTCTGAAATTTGGCCCGATTTTGCCACTGCTCTTGCCAATGCAGGCCTTCCCAACCTTCTCAACCTTAACATCGGTCATCAACCCTATTTGGATAACCTGCCGAGTAAAAACGTTTACTACCTTGTGAAAGCTAGTCTCTCCATCATTCACAATATTGCTCGAGTACCTGGAAATGTCCACTGCTTCGCCACAGATGCTGTCAAAAGTGCTCTCACTAATAAATTTCTGAGAGAGGAAGAATTTCTTCGCTGTATTTCTGACCTCTGTTTGGCCTACATCGTTAATGATAGCGATACCAATCTCATGACACAATTCATCAACGGGTCACCAGCGAATAACAGTAGCGTGTTGCAGGGGCTTGTTGACCATGTAGTAACAGCCAAGACCTCGGAGAAGAGACGTTGTCACGGGTTCCAAGTGTCAGAACTCCTGTCAGCTATCGCCACTCTTGCAGTTAATGACAGCATCAAACCAGACGTTCTCTCAGTATCTGTCAACCAGACCGGTGAATTCATAAACATCACTCAGCTGATCCGAGAGGCTATTGACTCTGCCACTTTACCAAACCCGAGCTTGGTAGCCATTCGTGAGGCGGAGGAGGCAGCTAGACTCCTCTGGATTCTTTCGCTTGATCCACGAGCACCTAATCCCGCATCAGAGCTTAATTCTCAGATTGGATCCTGGTTAGCCGGTCTCATTAAAGATGGTAAACTCTCCACGCTACCGAGTCACATTTCCAAATCTCTTGAGGCTGTTTCTGCTCGACTCACTGTTCCACCGCCGTCTGCCATTTCTCCGGGTCAGGGTTCTTTTCTCATCTCATTTGCCCCTGTCAATCGGATGGCTGCCCTAAAGATTGCGGAGCGTCTTCTAGCTGTGGGTCTCCCTGTAAACACTATAGAAACTCCAGAGTCAGACAATGTGCTCCCGGATGCATCTGCAGTGGGAATGTCGGGTCTCTACGCAACTTCTACCTCATTTGCCCAGTGGAAGAAGGCTATTGATGCAGCCAGTATTGTCGTGGTCTGTGCCTCCGAGTCATACCGTCTATCACCAGGCTGCCGATACGAAATTGAATGCATTCGTCCTGGGCTTAGTCCAGTCAATGCTTCATCTGGAGGTGATGCTTCGGTCAAACATGCGGATAGACACATTCTTGCCGTTTATTTGCAGCAAAAATACAAGCCAACTGGATGGCTGGGTGATCTTCTCAATGGCCAAGTTGTTCATGATCTCAGTGGTAGACGGGATATTGATGTTGGTTTCGAGAATTTCGTAATTCAAGCTCAAAATCTCTATGCCGAAATGAAGCAAGCTCTTGGCTCCGTGATGGCTAATGATAGAAGAGGATCTCTGAGCGCCCTGTCAACTGGTGCACTTCCCACACAGATTAATCATGTAGATGGGCTCATACCCGGCGCGTTGAGAAAGATTAGCAATGATTATGTGAGCTGTACAACCAGCCTGGGTCGTGATGGTAGTCTTCCAAAAGGTTCAGCTCAACCTAAAGGTCCCTTCTATGGTCCAGTGTCTGCCGCTCCATCTCCTGAAGCAATAATGCGTTTTCGAAAGACTGCTGTGCGTTCAGAGGTTCGAAGTTGGTCAAATAATACTGTTTACCAATGGCTCAAATTCCGCGGTCTTGGCCAGATTGTTCAAGTAACTGGCGCTTTTGATGGTGTACTATTGTCTCAACTCGCTGCAATGCGATTCTGGGCTCCAGAATACTTTGCACGTTCTCTGCAATCGGAATTACGCCTCTCCTTCATTGATGGCTTAAAGTTAATTGAGGCATTGGATGAGCTTTCCCCTAATGGTGGTATGAGTGAAGAAGAGGGATTCGGGGGAACCGGTGATGACGACCGTCCAGATGCTTATTCTCATGTCAGTGGAATGGACAATATGGGCAGTGTTCGCTAGACATCTCCCCCTTCCTTTACTCATTCCCTGACGTCTTATCTCAAACTTTATTTCTCCTCCCATCCCATTCCCCCTTCGAATTGAGAAAGGTGTATGTTCTTTGAAGAGGCTTTCAAAAACGAACTTTCGTAGTTGTCGGTTCCTGTACTTCTCTAACTCCGTCACCCTATCTTTTTCTTCTCTCTCCACCCCCCTCTTCTTACGTTCAAAGCATAAATGGTAAATAAGTACTATTTCGTTTGCGCACACGTAAACAACAAACAGCCCCAGTCTTCCTTGTCACGACAAAAGGTTCTCCATCTTCCTCTCCTCTCACTGCATTTCACGGTTATAAATTAGCCACATTATCTCACTCTCTCCCCCTCATTTACCTGTTGTTGTTTCTGATGAGTTATTGGGGCGACGCGCGGTGTTTTTAGCGTGTTCTACAGTCAGCCAGTGAACCAATGAAATCGCGCGTACTCCCCCCTGCCCTCTCTCTCTCTCTCTCTACATAGCATGAATGTTTCATTAAGCTATTATTTAACTCGAGTTTCTCTCTTTTCCTAGTTTAAGATTAGTGATTACTTCCACAAGTGTGTTCTCACATTCATCACCGTGTCTCCTTCATGTTTCATTTGTGTTTGTTGGCGCGTGCTTGATAACTGTCTTTAAACCCCTCTTCCTTTCTCTATCTGAATTCTACTCTCAAAGCAAATGGTGACCCGATCGATTGATTGATCGATCGAGCTCTATCACTCACTATTTCTCTCTGTGAAATATTGTCTGAAGCGTATTTTTTTGCTCCTTGCTCGGTGTCTGGTCTCTTTAATGGAGCAACTATAACAAGACATTAGAATCAAAATACTCTTTGTTCCTTGAATATCTGGTCTTTTGTTGTTGTTGGTGGTGAAGGAGGAGGAGGGTTTGGTAGGTGAAGACATGTATTGGTTAGTGCTGTCATTTACTTATATGCTGCGGCAATGGATCTACAGGCTTTGATCTTGCAGTTGGATATGGCAGTTAGTTTTCTAAATCCAGCATTGTTTAGTTTGGAATGGCAAAAAATGAGTTTATTGCATTTGTGTAAATGGTATATTTATCTGTGGGCTATTAATGTTAGCTTATAAGTGTGAAAGTATTGCATACATTTCTGGAGCTGTTGTTTAAGTAATAATATCTAGCCATTTTGCTGTTTTGGCCCATACGACTAGCAGGTTGGGGGGGGGGGGGGGGGGCAGCATTCAGTGATTGAAATGACACTGGTCAATTATGCAAACTAGGCATTTCGGTGGTAGGCCGCTTTTTCTTTGGAAATAATGCTGAGTATAAGCCTTCTAATCACTGTTCTCCATTGTTGGGATCTTATCTTCCAACTGCGCTTTAGTTGACGTCAAAATAGGTGCATTTGTTCTCGTATCTTGGTGACCATATCTGGAAAAATCTATGTAGCAAGGGAATGGGGGGGGGGTCAATCCTTTTGGTAGGGAGGTAGTGGGAGCAGTAATCGGTTCCTGACCCGATATATTAGGTAGAATAAAGATGCTTTGAATTTGGAACCCGATTAATCAAAAAATTATCAATGGCAAGATTTATTCGTAAGGCAGAGGCGGTTGGGACGAATAAACAATGAAATAATTCCAGGAGAGCGAAATTTGGTTCACTGAAATGACGCCCTCAAGTGGTTGACATGAAATTCCCATCTTGTAAATCCATTTATTGATTATCTCATCATTGGGGGCAAAATTTTGGTTTTTTAAGCCTTTTCCCACTGGCGTAGGAGAATCGATTATCGGATTGCAGTCATTCACAAGAGTATTATTAGTTCATGGAAATTGAATAAATTTCGTTCATCTACTCGAAGGAATGTCCGAGATGGAGCTTGGTGCGAGCCTGCGTTTTGCCCACTCAGAACACTCAAATAACTAGAGCCTAGTGACTACCTAACGAAAATTGGCCTCTGGACATGGACACCGCGTTTGACACAATATGGAACCAATTAATTCGACTGGAGACCACGGGGTGGGGGGGGGGGGGTGGTGGAGGATGGAGGGGTGAGGTGAATGAAGCGCGTCATTACAATTGAATATTGACATTACAAAGCCGGAAACATTTGAACCGTTTTCTAAATGGTAAATTTCTGAGCCAACTAACGAAGCATCTAATCTTTGGTACCACTTGAGAGTGCGAAATATTTAAGTTAATCCCTCCCCCCATCCCCAATGCATTAAATTTTCAAAAGTACCTTTCTCCTTAATAGTGCTTGTATTTCCAAAATGACCTTCTGTTGACGTCGCCAGTGTTGCTCTTCGGGGTTCCACTTTTGGTTACCCACTTTTTAATTTCTAAATTACAATTGAAGAGTGAAGATTGCTTTAGCTTCCGATTGATTAGTGGTACCAGTTTATGAATTGATTATTTTGCCATAATTCACAAATTTTTCGACACCTCTAAAGCAATTCACATTGAAGCTAAATTATTGTAAGCAGACATAAGCAAATGGTGAATACAATCCATCAACCCTTAATCCGAATTATTGATTTTTAAACTTATTTATAACAACTGGCAGGCGTTTTGATATTTATCATTAGCACTTTAGTTGACTTCGGACTTCACAGAGGGGAGGAGGAACATCAAAATGAGAAGAATTCGAGAGGGAGAACAGAAGAGTGATTCACAGATGTAAAAGAAACAGACAGACACAAAGGCTCAGAAAGGGTGAGATGAGTACTTTGGTAGGGGTCGAATATGACATACAGTGGGGTGATGGTAGTTTGAAATCAGAAGTCAACTGCCGGTTGATAGACATTTTTGCCGTATGAATATACGTTGCCCAGGTGCACCACGAGGAGGTAAGTCTATCTCACACCCCTTGATTTTTAAACCAAAAGACATTGTTTGCCAAATCATAAGGAGATCACGAAGTCTCACCTTTCTTAACCAATGAATCTACGCTCTGATTCAATCCCCATGGAAGATAGGAATCGATAATTCTTTTGAAAATGACTTATAATGCTAGTTAGTATTAAGTTATCATTCATAAATTCCTCAGACTTTGATTGAAATCGTAAGTGAGGGACTTCCACCTTCTTATTAACTGAAAATACTGCACGCAACACTAGTGGCCCAATTAAAACCTTGGCTCCGAGGTCACGAATCATCAAGCTCCTTAATATGCATTTTAATGACTGATTTTAAGGTGAAATTGAAAGGTTGAATTTCAAACACAAACTGAAAGGATATTTCAAGTGTTTAATTGCGAAGGAGTTATGTTGTGTCTGATACTGCATTATGGTACTTATAGTTGGAAAAACGCAGCAAATTCGGTTTATTTTCGACTGACTTGAGTCTTTAAAAAAAAATTTGCTCTCAACTATGTTTATTTAACCCTTTAACGCATGAATTATTCTTTTTTGGTGAAAAATGCACCCAACCGCACTCACGCGTGCCTCACAGTTGTAGGCTGATGCCGCCGACGTGATGAGATTGGTGGTGTATCAGACGAGAGGCTATAGACACGCATTGGACATGCATCAAACGGTAAGAACACCATCAGTCAAGAGTCCAGTATTTTGAAAGAGAACCTTACGGCCCTAAGGGCATTAAAGGGTTTAATGTGCGCGGAGAAAGAGTGAATTGGGCACGTGAATTGGGTTTGTAATCAAATTAACGTGTGTGGTAAACAATAACTGGCCAACAGTTGACAATATCAAATTGGCATAGTTGCATATCACAAATCTTTATTTGGTATGTTAACCTCTCTGCCTGGTGCAACTGCTTCATATACTATTTGACATGCTTCGCTATTTGCCAATGCAATATAATCTCCTTATCTTTGGGTAAACGGGGTGTGCGATAGACTTGCCTTCACGTGGTGCACCCTGGGCAATATATACTCATACGGCAAAAAGTCTATTAACCGGTAATTGTCTTCTGACTTCAAGCTACCACGACCCCCCTGGTTGTCATATTCGACCCATTTCACAGTACTCACCTTACCTTTTTTCTACCTTAGTGTCTCTCTGAGTACTCACCTTACCTTTTTTCTACCTTAGTGTCTCTCTCTTTTACATCATTGAAACACTCTTTTGTTCCCCCCCCCTCTCGAATTTTTTTCCCTTCGATGTTCCATCTCCTTTGTGAGGCCTGAAGTCACTTAAAGGGCTAATGAAACTAGCAAAATGCCTGCCATTTGATATAAATAAATCTTTGGGTAAGCACCATCCACCGAATTTCTCATATTGATTTATATGTCTCAATCAAAGCTTGTTCACTTAACATACTTTATCGCCACCTCTTGGTATCTGGTCCTCTCACAATAAACTCCACTTACCACTGTCTTACCTCCTTCCCACCCTGGTGTGTGATGAAGATAGGTAGCAATAAAGGGCAATAGCTTGTCTGTTATCTACAGATTTCGAAGAAGAGATATACTGGCTATCCACCTCTTAAGCACCTACGATTTTTTAGAGCAGAAATCCGGAAAAAGGCGATGTGAATTTAAATACGCCATTTTTGTTCATATTTTAATAATTCCTAAAGAAATGTGGGAAAAAAATCTTGTTACTTCAAAGGCCGTTAAAGCATTGGATATATATTTAGCCGGAAGACTTGGTCAGTAGGAAATTTATAAGAACTAGATAAGGATATTTTCAGTACCCCCCCCCCCGGTGAGCTCGCAGGCTTCAAACCTCATGACCCCAATTAGCGATCATTGGCTTCTCATTGCCGTTCCTGTGCTTGAGAAGTCATAATACTTAATGACTAATCAGGCGGGCCAACATTTGCTATATCTTCTATCCTATGCTAGAGAATTGGGGTGTGCGATAGACTTACCTCCACGTGGTGCACCCTGGGCAACGTATACTCATGCGACAGAAAAGTCTATTAATCGGCAGTTGACTTCTCACTTCAAACAGCCATCAAGCCCACTCTATGTCATATTCGACACCTCCACAGTACTCATCTTACCCTTTCTGAGCCTTTCTGTGTCTTTTACATCTGCGAATCACTCTTGTATTCCCCCTCCTGAATTCTTCTCATTTTGATGTTCCTCCACCCCTCTGTAAAGCCTGAAGTCAACTAAAGGGCCAATGGTAACTATCAAAACCCCTGCCATTTGTTATAAATAAATAAATAAATGCTAGAGAATTTACTGCATTAGTAAATTGGAGTCATTTGTGGTTAGTGTTTTCTTCCAAGGACAGTTTACTAATAAGTAGCATCTGCGCTGAATGAAACAGAGCCAAATCGCAAATATTATAAAAAAAACATGCAAAAAAACCATTTCATCCAAAAACATATATATTTAAAGTAGGAAGAAAAATTAGTTGATTTGCTCAGGTTAATCAAAAGCACTCGTGAAATATTTAAACAAAGGGAGGAAAGAAAAACACTAATCGAATGCGTCTAGTTGTAGACTTCCATGTGCTTCTGACATTCCGGATAGACAACACGAATGAGATTGTCAGGTTCGGGGTCCACATCCTTCGGGTTGTAAATGAATTTCTGCGGAATCTAAAGAGAAGAAAGACCCAAATGTAGTGAATTGGCTAGATACTTCGGAATCAACAGAGAGAGGGGTTGGGGGGAGGGGGGGTTTCATGACAAACCATGGAGCAATATTGTTGTACGATGGCGGTGCAATAAGCTTCATCACGACACAAATTGATTCTTGATCCTGGAATTATGCCCATTCCAATCACTTTCTTTCCACATCTCTTTTTTTCAAGCACAGTAAAGAGTAGGTGTCCACCACGAATGTCAGCTGATAGAAAATGAAATTTTTTTGTGTATTAGTGAATCATCTGGTTAATTTTACGAATCTGACCCTTCCCCAGGGGTGAGTAATGCTAATATGATCAACTTACCTTGTACGAGTTTGGAGAATACGAGTTCCTGATTGAAATAGGGGTTGCATCCGTACTTTTTACCGGTTTTACGCTCTAGTCTTCGGCCATCAGCAGTGTAAAGGACGCATTTAACCTACATATAATGCAAAACTAGAGTGGAAACGTTTTTAAAAGTGTAGCATTCAAAATTATCAGCACCTAAACCGAATATTATGCGAAACCGATCTGCTTTGCTCTAATTTGGCAGATTCCGTTCATTTATTAAACAGATGATTATAATTTGAAAATATTTTATTGTTTCCTTGAATGATTATTCGTAATCGAGTACCAAATTCTGGCCTTCTTAAGAAACATGTCAGCAAGGTAAGCGCTATCCCACTAGTACACAATCACGCTAGCTTTTGATAAGTTGACACTATTCTCTCAAGGCAGATAATTACAGTAATTCAATTTATCTATTGACGTCAACTTTATTGGCATAATCTAAAATTACTTACAATTGACAATAACAAATGCCAAAACAGTCTAGTCACGCAAATTACTTACAAAATGAGGTAATTTATCATCCACAATTCCAAGATTTCTAATGAAGACAGTAAGTTTTTGTTGACGAACGTCGTGTTGAATGTTTGAGCGCAGTATCATGGTCTTGAGATGACACAAAAATTTGAGTTTATTTCATTGCAATTTTAGGAATTAATCGGGTTATTTTGTGAAAAATAGTTGCTACTTACACACTCATCAATAGAGGATTCAGCTGCAATTAGGTAATACACACTGGGTCAAATAATTAATGTCACTTTGAAGAGGGAAATATGCATGAAATCGATGTGCTTACTGTCTCCAACAACAACTACTTGATTTTGATTGGTTCCTATACAATAAAGTAAAATTAATTGTCAGTTGATGTTTTCAATAAATATGTAATTAAAGCTAAAATGAGCTAATTTGGAAGTTCTTAGTTTAAAAAACGGCCTATCTGACTGCTGTGCGAATGGACCAGCCATTACTGGAGCTGGTGGTTAATTTATTTTCAGCGAGAAATCTCGTGGAAACTATATTTTGAGCATTGAAGTGTACTCAAAAAGTTTTAGATTTACTTTTCAGCTTTATTAAAGTTTCATTTTGGAAATATAGTGTATCACTCACCACAGCAACTATCACCTAAAAAGGGGATAGAATAATAAAGACAAGCCCAAATAAAAACAGCATAAAAATGAATTCATGATTAATAAGGGGAGAAAAAATAAACAAATAAATAAATATTGTGAAGTTTAAGTCATTTACAGGTTTCGGTTTTGCATTTCTTGCTCTCTAGAAACAGAGGAAAAAAAATTCCTTCAATTATGCTCGTGCCTAGTATTACTATGATTGGTAATAATTATGTGGACTTGCCTGACAGTGTCGATGCTTTGCAGGGATCAACTTGAACAATCTCATCTAAAATATGAATTTAAATGATATTGTAAAAATAGCTAATTTACTACTTACATCAACGTTTTAGTAATGAAGGTAAATTTAGCGCGAATAAGTGAATTAGCTATCTTACATATGGTTATATCTGAATCTAAAAAAAGGAAATTAATACATAGAATTATTCATAGAGGATTCCATTCTTAAAGTGTCATTGTTTTTTTAAATTTTTATCCTTAGTCTCAACTATTATTTGACACAGTTGGCACAATTATCAATAATAATTAAGGGAGTTGGTAGAATTCGAGTTTTTCACCAAAGTGGATGTTTCAACACACCATCCATCTACCCAAGATGGGTGTGCAGAAATCAACTTTCGTAGATGAGGTTGGGTTGACTAATTGCTATGGCCCTATCTAAATCAATAATCGAATCGAGTATCATGATTGTAATTTGTAGCGTTATTGATCTAAAGGCCAACAGAGTACAACTGCAGTATTTAATATGCAGTTCTTTTAAATAATAAATAATAATATTTTAGTAAACAGTTGATTTACCACCAGAAGAAGAAGATGAAGAAGATGATATGCTAATTGAGTCACAATCTGAGTGCGAATAGGCTAGAAATTACAATTCGAAATATCATAAACATTTTGTGATTTTTCATTTTAACAAAATCAAACTTAAGCAATCTTTTAAAGCAATTATAATTATTAAAAATAATTTTGAACGGTACCTCGTTTTCTTCCAAGCCCATTAACAATTTCGTCTAAAATTTAAATAATTCCCATGAAATGTTTGAAAAAAATAAAACTCACACAACTGATTTATCCTGAAAGCCAAAAAACTCACATAGTACTGTTCCTGAATCGTCTAAAATTTGAAAAAATTACAAAAATATAAAAAGTTTGATTTTATTAAAACAATCGGGAGTATAAAAGGGCAAAAATTTGTACTTAAAATATTAACTGCTTTTACTTTAAGCTCTTCAAATGTACTGAGTTAAAATCAATTTAAATCCTGGTGACTTGGAAAGTACTTTAATTAAACGGACGTGTTGAAAGAAAATTTAATTATTGTTATGTATTATCAATATATATTTTCAAATTTACCGGTATGGTGACATCTTGATCCAGAAGATACTGAGTAGGAGTCTGGATAAACAAAGCAGTAAATAAAAATTCGGATAATTAAATTCTTTTTTAAAATGTTAAATAACATTGACCTACATGATGACCCGTGTTCTTGAAAGCACTCACATTCACCTCAATTATACAAATTGAATAAGACAATTATAAAATTCTAATAACACTTGATAATAGGCTTTGGTAGTTATTAAGCAAAAAAATAGTGAACAAAGTTAGTCACGGTTCTAATTTAAACTTACGATTAGAGTGTATTTCACAATTCTGATCTTAAAGTTGATTGAATATGAAAAATATATCTATTTCTCAAAGTAGAATTACCATATTAACAAGTTGGTACATTAAAATGCGTCTTGTTGACTGAACTTTTCAACAAAAATGAGTGCTTCTTACTTACCTTGCTCACACACGACAGTGTTCGTTGGACAGCACACACTCGATTCTAAAAGGGAAATTACCTTAGTTGAGTGCTAAGCAAATGTGCACCAATACAATTTCATCAGGTTAAAAGGTTAGTCAATTTTCTGCTTACTTCCTGGACAAGTGGAGGGTGTTCGTGATACTCCTCCCGTCCTACAGGCTCCATCGACTAGATCTATTAAAATTTTCGAAAAAGACGAAATTGTAAAAAATTATTGATTGATTAAGTTAAAACAATTAGTCGAATGAAAGAGGTGAAATGTTGACGATAGGAGAACAACTTAATTTCTTGTTGGTGCCAAACAAATAAGCCTTGACCAAATCGTAATAATACGAGTAGGATAAAATTTTTGATGAAAATTAGCTCAGTATTGAGGAAGCAGATAGTATTGAATGAATAGCGTTTATCGAGGCCTATTGGCCACTAGCATAAAGCCTAGTCATTAGAGAGCAATTAGTACTGCTCTAGGTCAAATATTTTATTGAATGTTGGTTTTCTGAGAGGTGTCTACAGCCACGGCTGTACTTGCCCCCCAAACGCGATCCATAGAATGGAGCACCTTCCAGGTTGGTTGAGAGCGCATGTGATCCCCTAGTTAAACCCCCGGTAACGTTCTGAGCGCCACGATCTCAATAGTAAATTAATATCGGCTAATCTCCCAATAGAGAAGATATAAATTGACTCATTGTGTTGACTAAAATATAAGTTTTGAGAAAAAAGTGACAGCGAAATTCCTTTTAGTGGAATGACTTATTAAAGGTACGAAAAATCTCTGCAAAGTGCTCATGGTAATGGTTGCATTGCAGTAAATTTTGGAAGAATATTATTGTCAATAATTTTAAGATAAGAGCATATCCTATATTTTTTATTCGCATCTTCTCCAACGACATAAACCAATGAATGAAGTGAGTAAATCTCAAAATTCTTTAACTGGAAATGTTGAAAGAATTGACCAATGCTCTTATGGAATTAAAAAATTAGACAAAACTAATCGTGCACATTCAAAATATTCTAACCATTCTAAATATTCCTTCAATAAGTACTGAATGCCCATTAGATTTATATAATTTGAAGTCGAAAATCGAATGATTAAATGACCTTTGATACCTTAACTCTGTTTTCAACAATATTTCGGCATCTGGTTTTAATCACTAATTGGAATTTCAGTTACTCGATTTAAAATGATTTCTACAATTAAAAATTGCTAATTTTTTACGTTATTATTTGAGTAATATTAATAGCTCATACTCTAAGATGTTAGCGTCGATTTAAAAATTTATTTAAAACAAATAAATTTAAAAATGCTGACATTTAGAAAGAAAGATATGGCTAAAATCATAAGGTTAATAAAGGAATTAACTTAACCTGTTGTGATTGGTGGACACTAAATATTGAAAAAAAGCAAATTAGTAAGCAGGTGTATAATAAATCAGAGACTACACTCTTATCGTCAAGTGTCCGAATGCTCTTACACAGCTTGGATCGCGGACATAGAGACTATAAGCGGTGTCTTGGTCAATTTGAATCTCCGATCCGTCCATTTCAACGCACCCGAAAATTTTTTTTCTATTAAAGCCACTTCCATGAATTTCGAAGATTAGCTTTCCACAGTGAACATCACCTTAATGATCATAGAAAACGTTAAACTGGAATTTGTCAAGCGAATCACATTTTGCATTCATCGAAGATGCGCAATTTATTAAAAAGATCAATTAACTATTGTTTTTACTAATAACAGATTCAATAGAGTTAGGCGATACTATCTTTTTGAGCTTAGTAGCTGAGTATTGAGAAAATTCTAAGCTAAGAATCGCATTACACATTAAAGATTTTATGGGAAATATCATTTAAGCATAAACATAGCGTTACATTAAACCTTGCTAGGCATTTCAGTTTAACGACTCCCGCTATGTAAAATTTAAAATGCCTACTTTTTTTCGGATTATACCAGAAGAAGATGAAAAGCGAAAGTGGTGAACGTGGAATGTCGTTTCTTACATCGGATTAGGTCGCCAAATGGAAATTTTTTGTTGAAATGCGGATTTGGACCAGCTTTGGAGGAAGTTTTGTACGATTTAATAACGTATCCTTCATCATCAGTCTTTTCACGACGAATTACGCGACCGACGAAACCCGGTTTCTTTCTCCTGTCGCAAGTACTTCTTTCCAAAAATATTCCCACAACCTTCAAGGTAATTAAAACAAAAGTAAGTTTGGCCTATCACCGTTAACCCACGAATCGAAATATCAAATATTTAAATCAAATAATGGATTAATAAAAATAAATAATAAAACATTAAATTAAATCACTTAAAATCAGTTATTGTTGTAATTAGAGATAAAGTATCATTGTTACTGTTAATTAAATAAATCAATACTTCACCTTGACTTTTTCTCCGCGAGGGGAATTTTGTAGGTTTCTAACAAGTACTTCCAGAGTTTGTACACGTTCATCATATTTCATATGGATGTTGAGAATCATTGGAGGTTTGAAGGGATTTGGCCCGGGCTTGAATACAGCGGAAAAAAACAATAATTTGAAACCAAAATAATAGTGGATGTTATATAATCGAAAAAAACTAAAATTCTTTAGAATTTACCTCAACGGGAGTGTCACCTTTTCTAGAGCCTATAGAGGAAATGGGAAAATTATACGAATAGGAAGTTTGTTCCTTTCGAGAAGGGTGGTACTATTTCCCAGGATTTGATGGAAGCTGAATTGCTTCGTTTAGACTTCAGGTAAATTCTAGTCCGACCATAGGGGATAGTACTTTCAGAATTCCATATTACCATGAGTGATGACGTCACCGAGATAATCGGACTATGTATTTCCTTGATGACATATTTTTATATCAATCTTCTCCCAATGGACAAATTTGGGTTATAACAGCTGTTTACGACGTGGATCAATAAGTATCTAATCCTTAAATAATTGATTTTTTTCTAAATAAAACACTATTCCACTACATATAGCCTTTAATTTTCCTATCTATTGGCTGAATTCCTGCAATAATTTGATACTGTTGAGCAAGTTGTGCCCACGTATTTGAAATATTTTAAAAAATTTAAGTCACTTACAGAATAGCGGCATCTTGAACAGATCGATCCACAAAGGAGCTAGTTTTGTCAGCACAAAAAGCACTTGCTTATATAATTGCAAAATTTCCCTATGCACTTTTGCAAAGTCATTTAGTTCAAGACTGAATGAAGCAGGTGAGTACTATTTAGGGGGAAGAGAACGAGTCACAACTGTCACGCCAATGGGATTCATTTTGTCTTTTGATTAATTTTTGACGAAAGTACGAACGTGAGTGGTTGACTTTTTTGAGCCGTTTCTATGGGAAGATAACCTTATTATAAGCTGACTACTTGCCCATTTAGTTAACTTTGCAAATCTTTTCACACATATAACTGAACTAAGAGTAAAGTTGTGTGGAGTTTGCTCAAGGTGTGAAATGAGATTCAGATTACATTTTCTAAATTTTGTTTTGATGTTTCATTATGCACCATGTATAGTTCATTCCCTAGAGAATTAGAGAAGACTTAGAAGATGTAAAGTTTTGTTTTCAGCAAAATGGAACACTTCTGTATTAATATCGCGATGACAGGTCTTTCCTTGGTGAGGTTTTCCATACAGGTGAATTGGACGAAGAGATTTTATTGAATATCCACCACCCGCCCCCCTCCCTGTTGAGTATGAATATATTCAAATACTGATGTGTGCGATTCCAGTTCTTAGCGTTGTCGGCACTGTATGGATTAAAACGGAGGTCAGTTTGAGGACAAACAGTAAAAAAACAGCAAAATTTATTTATTTATATATTTATTTCAAATGGCAGGCGTTATGATAGGTATCATTAGCCCTTTAGTTGACTTCAGGCTTCACAGAAAGGAAGAGGAACACCAAAGTGGCAAAAAGTCGAGA